GGACACCATTAGTTGCTTTAACCCATTATGAGTATACTTTACTACTGTTTGTCCCATTGGAAATAGCAGTTCTCTGTTTTCTATCCAATAGATGACTTATATGGGTCGTATTGTTTGTCTTTTATTCCATAATACCTCAATTTATCCAATAATATATCATGGCTAACACAATTGAAAGCCTTTTCTAAGTCACAGAAGATCCCAGAGACTTGCATTCTTTTATTTAAAGAGTCTAGTATTTCAGAGATGTCTATAAATTGCATTTTCAGTCCCTTGCTTTTCTCTAAATCCAAATTGGTATTTATTTAATATACTGTAGCGTGTTTTTTGTGTGTCACGCCACAAATAAGGTCACGCCGTTCTTTGATATAGCGAGTTTATTACGTTCGCTCGCCTTACACACACTTTACAATCATTTACACTTGCAGTGGTACAATCACTGCTTACAATAACTCGGCCGACCCTGGACTGTCTTCTCTGGCGGTTTTCCTAGGACTTTCTTCTAAGGTGGCTCGATCACGACTGACTTCTAAGATGGCTATTCACTTCTCCGATGGACGATCCGAGACTCAAGCCTTCTCGTCGAAGCCGGGCTTTTATAACCTTGGCCGCTGCTAGGCAAATGAATCCTCTGTTATAGCAGTGGAAACGTCGCTTTGTTGGCTCCGCTTCGCGTGTTCGTCGTAACCGTGGAGATTTGATGTTCTCTACACAACGGCTCACTGTTGGGATTACAGTGCTGCTATTGTTACTTCCTATGTAACGGTCTATTCTAGTGTTTCCATAGAAGCGACTCTTCTGGATTCCAGACACGTTACAATACATTATCATTCAAATGTTTTAACAATCTACTATGCATTACCTTTTCAAAAATCTTACTAATAGATGTCAATATGGTATAGGTCTGTGATCTGATTCTAGGTTTTTATCACCTTTTTTGTATATTGGCATAATTGTAGCCTATTTTAGTCTGTCTGGGAAAATACCCTCGTGCATAGTTCTGTTACATAAGTAACTTATCGGTTCGCTAATAAATATTTTACAGGCTTTTGAGTATATTATTTAAAATTTCATCATATCCATGGGTTTGACTAGATTTTAGGGACCATATAATCCTTTCTATTTCCCTACTCGTGGTTTTTATAGTTTCTATGCTAGGTAGTGGACTCTCAAATGCCTCAGTCAAGTATGTCATATAATTAGTAGTTTTCGATTTAATATTTTTACCCTTTCCTTTTATGTATATTATCCACTATACCACTAAAGTACCTATTAAATGTTTCAACAATATCATTCAAGTTAGTATTCTTTTTACCTTCAATGTCTCTAGCTTTATTTTTAGAATATTTTTATTGATTATCATATGTCATCTTCTTAGCTAGATTTATCACTCTGTTTAATACTTTACAATAGTTCTTATAGTAGGTGGCTATTATAGGGTTATTACTTTTTTTTTTGCTTCAAGATATATTGTTCTTTTGTTTCTACAAGAAATTCTTATACCAGTGGTAATTCATGGTTTCGGTTTGTATTTTTGTCTACTTGTTATTGGGAACAACTCATAAAGTTGTCTTAACAAAATATTTAGAAAATGATTAAAGCTAGTATTAATGTCATTATTGTTATAAACTAGTTCCCATTTTTCATAACTTAGTTTCATTGTAAATTCTGCCAAATTATAATCATTTATATTTCTTTTAACTATAATTTCATTCTTTTTGATACAAGGTAATGGAAATTGTGCAATTAGTAATTGTGCTTCATGATCTGATAATCCATTAGAGATAGAGAGAACTTCATAGTCAGTAATATGTTGTTCGTCAATAAATATATTATCAATAATTGTAGACAAATTTGGTCCTATTCTAGTAGGAAAGGTAATAAATAACACTTCTAAGATTGAAGGAGCTAAAAATATCATCAAGTCTAGTTTTCTTATGAGAGTTTTCTATATAATTCACATTAAAATCCCCACAAACAATAACATTATCCTTTTTTATACAAATTTTGTAGAATTAATTACAGTTTACTCAAAAATATTTTATAATCACTGGAAGGGGATCTATATATAGTTAAAATAATTATTTTAAAATTTATAGTATTTAAAGTGACCACAGGCTTCAATATCCTTATCACAACAAAATTTTTCAAGATTTATAATATGAGTTGTTAAACTATCATGCACATATATACACGTACCACCATTATTAAAATTTTTCCTACTATAATATGCACCTAGAGTATAACTGGTCAATTTAATATGAATTATTTCATCTCTACCAAGATGATGTTCAGTGAAACAGATTACTTGAGGTGTATACTCTTGTAAATGACATAATACTTATTTCTTAAACCACGTATGTTTTGGTGAAATATTTTTACAATGTTATTTTTTGTAGTTTTTGTTTTACACTTATTAAATGGTTTTACCATAAAAAATCATTTGATTTTGTTGCTGTTTTTTTCTAGATCTCATAGAACTTTTGCTATTAGCCTCTATTTCTTCACCTTGACACTTATTTAATTTTAAAGTCTTTTTAAAATTATTCGATAACACAACTTCTTCAATTTCATTTTGTGCAGTTGAATTTTTTTCATGCAAAATATCCTCTTTCCACTGCATTTGGATAGGATTAATTTTTGACTTAGTTAAGAGTTGATTGATTATCCTTGCCAGCTTTGAGGCAACCAACTCTTTGCCCCATTGATTTAGATGTTGTCCATGCCTCGTAAAGTGTTGTCTTTGTAGATCAATTTCCATTAGTTTCACATTTGGATTCGGTTTGCTTATTTTCTTTGCTTGCCTGTTGAATTTCAATACCTCTTTATTTACAAAGGAGATAGATGTAAGATCATATCTATGTAGTGTGTGGATTAGAATAATATTAGTCCTTTTATGCTCTTCCATAAACTTCGTTAAGTACTTAAGTGCTTCATTTGTATTATTTTTACTAATATCATTTGCTCCGGCCCATAAGATCAGGATATCCTTATTACTTAGTGAAGCAACTTCATCTGTAGCCGTTGTCAAATTATCATTCATCAAGGCACCTGGTTTGGTAATTCCCATATCATCGTATCTATGATCCAAAATCATGCGAAGTTCGGCTGCACTTTTTTTCACATGGCTATCGCCAATTGTCCGTATTTTAAGTTTGTGTGTTCTTTGACTTTCTTCATATTTAAGTTTCTCTTTTGTCAAGGTATGATTCATTATATTTTTTTGCTCAGAGTTCCTTCATTCTCATATTGGTTCATTTTTCATCATCTTTGAGGTTATGTTTCGAATCAGGTTTATTCACTTTTGTGGGTATAATTTGTATTAAATTGCTATTTAAGACATCCAGATTTCGTTTCTATTTGTCTATTACTAATTCCCAGTCTTCTTCCATTAGTAAGGTTCCAGCTTGTTCACAATAATAATTGTTTATTTATTTATTATTTATTTAGTCTCACATTATCACTTAACTCGGCTTGAAGCACTTTTATAATTTCTTTATAAGATAGTATTTCCTCCTTTGCTTTTTGTAGTTCCCTGTTCAAATTAGCGCAATTTGGCAGTTTGTTTGTAGTTTATCACTTACATTTTGAGCTGCTCTCAGCTCGATTCTAGTCTTTTCGAACTCCAATTCCACAAAACAAATACACAAAATATTACCCGGTTCCCCACTATTGTCAATTAAAACTGCAGCACTGTTAGTAGAACTCATCTTACTATCCGCCATGTTGGAACATGTTGTACAGGATCTTCCTCGCCCACAACACCCTAGAAATCACCCTCCCTGCCCTGTCATCTGTAGCTATGTCACCTAGAGAGGTGAAACCTATTTATGCATAAAGCAGATAACAAAAACAGATATGTACATTAAATCTTACCATGTTTAAATAATTATTATTTAGGATTGTCTGCATGCCTCTACCAGTGATGTTTAAATGCATAGGAAAACACGCTCCTGTTGCTCTGAAGGAGATTTAAAGCATTTTTGTGTACTCCTTTGATGTCATTTACTGCAAAATGTGTTTTGAACACAGTGCTTATGAGCTGCAGAGTAATGTAATTTGTGTAACCCTAGGCCTGTCCAAGTTTGGATTTGTTGAACAAATAGAAATGTTTCCTTAAAGACAAGAAAAAAATACTTGTTTTGTTGGCGAAAATATGGCATAAGTAACTGATCACTGTATTGTAAAGATATACCATTGCAGCAACCTCCAATTGTGTTCAGGACCTGAATAGGATCAGCAGAACATTGTGCTAAGGTGAAGAATGGTGTAGCTCTATCTCTACACCCCATGGCTTCATAGCTCCATGGTTGAGTGAGTACAGAGATAACTTCAAGTTTAGGTGCTGTGGATCCCAAAAGAGCTGAAGATGTTTGAGGAACAGAACAAAGCACCTGAGTGTTAGTTTTAAGTGTCCTTATCAGAACTTGATGTAATAGAACGACGATAAGGAATCAAAACCTGATTGAGGAGGAAATTAAGAGGAGACTGAACTCTGGTAATGCTTGCTACCATTCAGTCGAGAACATTTTGTCTTCTCATCTGTTATCCAAAAACATAGAAATTAGAATATACAAAACTATAATTTTGCCTTTGGTTCTGTATGGGTGTGAAACTTGGTCTCTGACATTAAGGGAGGAACATAGACTGAGGATGTTTGAGAATGGGGTGTTGAGATTATTTGGACCAAAGAGGGATGAAGTGACAGGAGTCTGGAGAAAACTGCATAATGAGGAGCTTCATAACGTGTACTCTTCTCCAAGTATAATTAGAATGATCAAGTCAAGGAGGATGAGGTGGGCAGGACAAGTAGCACAAATGGGGAGAAAAGGAAAGCATATAGCATATTGGTGGGAAAGCCAGAAGGAAAGAGACCGCTAGGGAGACCAAGGCATAGGTGAGAGGGGATGGAATGGGATGGTATGGATTGTATTGATCTGGCTCGGGGTAGGAACCAGTGGGGGGCTCTTGTGAACACAGTAATCAACTTTCAGGTTCCATAAAATGCTGGGAAATTCTTGAGTAGCTGCAGATTTGGCTTCTCCTCTAGAATGGCTCAGCTCCGTAAGTAAGTATCAGAACTTGATGTAATATTTAGAACATACAGAAAATACTGTGTTACATTTATATTTTTTCATTCTGTAAGATGCTGCTGACAGATTTTATTTCAGGCAGAATATAAATTTACTGGGGTCTTTTGGATCTCCAACCTCCCTATGTGTGCAATTGGAAACACTGGAACACGGTGTTCAGGTACGGTCCAGTGCCACCAGATATGTGATCGTTAATAATAAGAGTATCAGATGGGTGGTATAATTTCTGGAGGAAAGTGTACGGGTACAAACACATACAATCAAAAGTTCCTGTAATCAGCATGCATTTTTCCATCTCACTACTAAGAACTTTGTAGTACATCAGTTGTGAAACATTCGTTTCAATATTGCCATTTGTAAAATACCACCTTCCAGGATGTAATGCCATGTAGTCTGGTAGAAGTATCCCAGTATTCCTCCAAAACATCAGTACTTTGGTTTGTTGCTAAGTTGGAGTACACATTGAACCAGTTATTTTGAACTATAAACTACAGTCTTCCCCTTGAAGCTCAATGGTTGTATGTATCATCAGATTTTACATTAAAAACAAGTCTATAGTTTGCCCAGGTTGATAGCAGTTTCTTCCTTGAACAGCATTAAATGTCTTGTCTTCATAATGAAGATGAACTATCTTTTCTCAAAGGAACTGAATTTTTAAATATTGTTTAACTGATTAAAACGTCTGTGTATCTACAGTCCATCAACAATGCAACACTTGTTTATTCACCATTTAACACTTAACGCATTTCAGCCATAGATGGCCATCTTCACATGTCTTAGTGTATCAAAACTGCTACAGTGCTCTATTGTGCGCTAAAACTGCGCGCTGCAGTCCACTTAAAAATAAATGAATTAAAAGCCATTAAAAATGCCCATTAATTTTTCATTATTTTTGTAATCTCCAATTCCACCTCATAAGGAGTGTCATCCACTTGTTTAGGCTATGTGATTATTTCAGAAGGTTTGTTTCAGCGGCTTGTTCTTCTGTTCGTTAGCCCGTTGTTTTGCTACGTCTGCAATCTGTAATATGCCCCTTGCTTGTGTGTTCACTCTGGCAGCATGTGGTGTGTTGACACCTGAAGATGGTCATCTATGGCCAAAACATGTTCTGTTAAGTGTTAAATGGTGAATAAATAAGTGTTGCATTATTGGCAGACTGTGGATAGACATTTTAATTATGCAACAGGATGCTGAAATACAGAATTGTTTAACTGAATTTACTTTTCAAAGTAATTTTTAATTCAAGTAACTTGTTTTCATGGCACAGCACACATGTACTTATTACAAGTCTTCGGTTGATTGTAGTTTGGAAGTTTTGTTGATTCAGAATACTGTAAACACATAAACCCCAAATCTTTTGTGGAGAAAGTGTCATAAAGACACTTGCCAAATGCTGTAGTAGTAACTGATCAGATACAGGGTTGTAACATTTTCAGTGAAGTCACTGTTGCAGATGATGGACATTTTCTTTTCCTTTCACAGAACCCATGAGAGAGGGTTCACCTAGAAGCAACGTGGATCTAACTGCAGTAAGGGCAACAAGGAACATGAGTGTGACATTTCACATGGAGAAGACATGCCAAAGATTAGGGAATGTGGGAGCACCAGCTGCGACTGCCTTGACAGGGTAATCAAGCCAAGTGTGATATCTTTTCACAAAACTACAGCCAGGATAAAAGGAATATGTATTTTTCTGTATTGTATAAAGTATATTTTGCCTTGAGGCATTTGGTAACAAGCAGACATGAAACAGGAAAGTCTGATTTCTATTTTGATATGAAATTCAATCCCAGAAAATTGCATTGATAATACAACCTAAATGAACACTTTGCATAATTCTTTCACTGCTGGGCTGCTAGTACCCTGACATACTCTAGTGCATGCACATTTGCCATTAAACATGGAAATCTGGAGAAATGAAGTAGCAATTTAATTTCAGTGCAACCTCCATTTAATGTCTCATTTAACAGCCAGGTTTAGTGATTCCTAGTTTCAATGCTAAATTTCCTACATGTAAGAGTTTGGTCAGTTACTGTTGTAATCCACTGTTCCCAAAGAAGCACTATTATGTTGTGATTGGCAATCTTAACCAACTCTTGTTTGACAAGGTCACGTGATGTTTTGTTTAAAACATCTTGCTGGTATGGGTAGCAGTTTATAATTTTTCTACAGAAGGCAAATGGATGCAGCAAAGCTCCAAGTTCATGATAGATGAAACTATATTTGCAGCAAGTTCGTCTTGAGAAATGTCTGTGGACCCGAAAAAAGCCACATGTGGCATACGAAATGAAAGCCACTCCATTTTAAGAGCTTAAATTGGTACAAAAATGAGCTTCTTATATTGGTAAAATTAATTGAGACAGAAATGATGAAAACTATATTCTTACAAAATTTTATTAGATTTCAATGCAAAGTATGTAGGGAAGACATTTTCAAATCAATGATTGGGAATGAGAGTTTGCATGAAATTAGTACTGATAATGGAGTTACAAATAGTAAACTTTGACACATTCAAAAATCTTATTGTCAAAAGTATGATGTCTCCACATCATAGCATTCATAAATTTACTTGGATATCTCTTGATGGAATGACTCGCAATGAAATTAGCCATATTGTGATAGACAGGAGATGGCATTCAAGTACACTTGATATCCAATCATTCAGGGCAGCAGATTGTGATATTGACCACTATCTGGTGGTTAGGGAGAGACTGGCAATGAGAAAACAACACACAGAGCTCATATGGAGAGGTTTAATCTCACATAGGTTTGCAACTTTGGAAAACTTAGACACTGGGGTGGATATTAATAGAGTTCGGGAAACTATTAGAGAGAATATCAAAATTTCAGCCAAAGAAGGTCTAGGTTATTATGAGTTCAAGGAGCATAAGCCACAGTTTATAAGATATAAATCATCATGTAATGATTAAATTCCAGCAGCACTGATTCAAGCAGGAAGTGAAATATTATGTTCTAATATCCATGAAGTTATCCCTGTGCTTAACTAATTAAGCATGTAAGCATGACACCATGAAGGTGTATGGGGGAGTAGACTTAAAGATTCACATTTTCTTGGCCTCAGCACTAGCTGAAGGTGAGTGATCAGCTTCACACCGTGACCACTTTACACCCAGGGAAAGAGCCAGTCAGTAGCCCGTCGCTATGCCGACTACACTATCACTCTAAGATCCATAAGCTAATTACTTCTGCTAGCCTCTTATGAGGATGATGATGTGATTATACTGGGTGATAATATGGATACCATAAAGAAAAAACACAGAGAAAACTAAATATATGTTGCTGTCATCACCAGAATATAGGGAAAAATCAGGATATGAAGATAGCTAACAGATGCTTTGAAAATGTGGCACAGTTCAAATACTTAGGAATGACAAACAAATCAAAATTTTTTAATCTAAGAGGAAATTAAGAGGAGATTGAACTCTGATAATGTTTGCTAACATTCAGTCCAGAACTTTTTGTCTTCTTGTCTGCTGTCTTACTTACCCGTGGAGCTGAGGCCTTCTGAAGGAGCCACCAATTTTGCAGCTACTCAACAATTTCCCAGCATTTTATGGAACCCAAAGGTTCATCACCATGTTCACAAGAGCCCTCCACTGGTCCCTATCCTGAGCCAGATCTATCCAATTCATACTATCCCATCCTATCTCTCCAAGATCCATTCTAATACTGTCCACCCAACTACGCCTTGGTCTTCCCTGTGGTCTTTCCTTCTGGCTTTCCCACCAATATCCCATACGCATTCATCTCCCCCATTCATGCTACATGACCTGGCCACCTCATCCTCCTTGACTTGATCATTCTAATTATACTTGGAGAAGAGTACAAGTTATGAACCTCCTGTCACCTCTCTCTTCAGCCTAAATATTCTCAACACCCTATTCTCAAACACCCGCAGTCTATGTTCCTCCCTTAATGTCAGAGACCAAGTTTCACACCCGTACAGAACCACAGGCAAAATTATACTTTTGTATATTCTAATTTTTGTTTTTGGACAACAGACGAGAAGACAAAAGGTTCTGGACTGAATGGTAGCAAGCATTACCAGAGTTCAATCGCCTCTTAATTTCCTCCTGAACCGGGTTTCGATCTATTATCATTGTTCCCAAATATCTGAACTGTGCCACATTTTCAAAACATCTCTTTCCTATGTTTATGTCGTGATTTTGCCCTGCATTTTGGTGACGAGACAGTAACATATACTTAGTTTAATCTGTGTTTACTTCTAGACCAACTTCTTTACTTGCGTCAATTAAAGTTTGTTTTTTTTCTTTATGGTATATACATTATCATCGGCACAGACCAACAGCTGATGTGTCCCGTTTAATTTCAGTCCCACCTGGTTTCCCTGGACCTTCCGAGTTGCATAGTCTAAGGAAAAGCTGAAAAGGAGTGGCGATAAAGCATCTTGTTTTAGACCATTGTGGATAGGAAATTTATCAGACAAATGTTTACCTACACGGACTTTACTACACGTTTCATTTAAACACATTTTAATCAACCTAACTAGTTTCATGGGTATCCGAAACTCTATTAGAATACTGTGCAATACTTCCCTCCTAATTGAATCGCAGGCTTTCTTGAAGTCTATGAATAGCTGACGTACTGCCTCATTGTACTCCCATTTTTTCTCCAATATCTGACGAATGCAAAAAATCTGATTTGTAGTTGTCTACTGTCTAAAAACATAAGAATTAGAATACACCAAACTATAATTTTGCCTGTGTTTCTGTATGGGTGTGAAACTTAGTCCATCATTAAGGGAGAAACAAACTGAGGAGAATATTTGGGCCAAAGATAGACAAAGTGATGGTAAGTTGGAGAAAACTGCATGATGAGGAGCTTCATAACTTGTACTCTTTGCCAAGTAAAGGATGATCAAGTTGAGGAGGAAGGGGGAGAAGAGGAATGCATATAGGATTTTGGTGGGTGGACAATGTTAAAATGGATTTTAGAGAAATGGGATGAGGTGGTATGGACTGGATTGATTTGGCTCAGGATGGGGACCAGTGGAGGGCTCTTGTAAACAGGGTAATGAACCTTCAGGTTCCATAAAATGTTGGGAAGTTCTTGAGTAGCTGGTGGCTTCTCCAGAAGAGCTTAGCCGAAAATTGGTGATATTTTTAACCCTTTGGCGCAGTCATTTAAATTCCGCGGCCACNGTTATAACATAGGTGTGCAGCTGGACGAAACATACACGTCAAACCATGCTGAACGGTTAAATTGTGGCCCCTAACCCTGTGATGTGGAAAGTAATACAGGCACAAAAATGGCAAGAGATATTGGTCTTTGTGGGGGGGGGGCTTTTTGTTGTTTTTATTATGTTTTTTCTGTTTGCTGAGTGGAACTACAGCTGTGCAGAACCAACCCTCATTTCCTATAGACTCTAGCATTCGCCAACTGCAGCTACACCTAACCACTGTGGTTGGGGAGGAGTACTGTATTGTAGATATCTTGTGCTTAATGGCTGAAGACAGATCATTATTGATGATGTCCTGATTTCATCCACAGGTCGGGTGCCTCAAGGCTGTGAAGTTCATAGCATCTTACCCCATGGCAAGATCTTGGTACATGCACTGAAGTGGTGTACAACTTATGTGTTGAAATAAAGAGAGTGTCTTCAATTTTGTCCTGGTTTAAATGTGGGTACAAGGGATGGGAATCTCCTTCCTTACTGCTTTTGCATCAGCTCCTGGTGACAATGGAGAATGCTATTCTGTAAGTTAAATCATTATTAAGTGTGATCATGAACTTCGATAATTGAACTTGAACCGTTAAGCCCCGAAGCCAGGCCACAGAATCTCTCCTGTTCTGTTTCTGGCTTTCAAGAGTTCTTCCCTGCCTAAACCATTATCCGCATCACACCCACAACTCAGCAAAACCCACCCTCTGGTTGCAGAACCTGAAGGCTCACCATTGCTGATATGAACATCCCCCATAAATTTATATAATTCAGAGTGTCGTAGTATTTATTGAAAGATCCACATTTTCATTTGAGCCTTGTAGGCAATTTCCTCATCCATAATCCATACACATTTCTTACTTCCCCCAACCAAACCACACTGGGCCTGTAGTTAATTTCACAACCTTAACAATGCTGAGTTCCTTGCATAAATGTTCCTTACACAGTATTTCAAGAAACCCAATACTACTGCAGTTTTTATATGCACAGTAGAACACAAACATATACTGGAAAATTGCATTCTGTCAGCAGCACCAGTGCCTTGGTAGTATTTGTTTCAGTAGTCCTGCATGTAGTTTCAAAATGTTTGTATGTCTGGTGACTTGCTTTCCATTGCATGTATTTTACTGTGTTACTGTCTTCACAAACCAGTGTTCTCAATGTCCATCTTCGGGGTTGAAGGGTATGCCAGACGGCAAGAAGTGCTGCTTTGCTAGCATACTCTTCAATCAGATGATGAAGTAAATAGATGATAGGGTCTACCTAAGTATATGGCATCACATCATGCCAAGAATTGTAGTTGATACAATGCAGTTCTTGTCCCGAGTTTGTGAAGACAGTTCCCAAGAAAATGTACTGAAAGCCACTGGATGCACATTCACTTTGGACTTAACTGCAGTATGACCCCTGAATTAGTCTACCCTAATGGTTGTGGTGCTTCTGATGGAGCCATGTGATTTCCACCAATGTTGTGTTCTACTGTGACAAGAGAAGCACTTTGTGCAATGGTGGGTGTAGCTCATCTCACAAGAGCACAAACAAGTGGAATTCTAGAGGACAAGACTGGGGTTCAGTAATGTAGCATTCACCAGCTCAAGCAGATCTCAAAGGTAAACATTAAAGATAATACTTTAAACAGTTTTCTCAAAGGTCAAACATATCAGGAACATCCAAAATTACTTTCCATACAAGAACCTTGTGGTCTAGTGGGTAAGCCACTGGACAATCATGGTTCAGTATCACTGTCTTCACTGGTTCAAATCCATCTAAAAGCTGAAAATTAAAGATAATATTTTTAAACAGTTTACTCAAAAGACAAACATATCAGGAAGATCTGAAATTGTTTCTAACATGAGAGCTTTGTGGTCTAGTGGATAAGGCACTGGACAACCAATTTGAGGATCAACAGTCAGTAGTTCAAGTCCAAGAGCCAAGAAGAGACTTCAAGGTTGAGAAAGATAACAGAGCCATCTGGCAGGTACAGAAGAAAACTATGAGATAGGTAGGAGGGGAAGATGGGGCAGACCAAAGAAAAAAATTTTTTGGGGCTATCTCGCAACCCTTTTTTGTTCCTTCCGAGCTCACCGCATGGCACAAATTTGACAAAATTTTACTAGCATGCCAACAATTTTTAATACCAGAAATTTCCTGCAGGTGGCAGAACCAAAATTTTTACTAGGAAGCAATATTTAGTACCAGAGAATCCCTGCAGATGGCACAACTTCTGATTATCCTTCAAACATGGACACCTATTATCTCTGTGCCCCCCCCCCCAAAATTATTAGCCNAAAATTACTAGCCCAGCAGAAATTTGTAGTACCTCTAATACCCATAAAATATGATGTGCTAGAATTGGTTTGATGGCAACACCTTGTTAGACATCACCCTCCAAAAACAAAATTCAAACACATTTTACCTACATGGATGCGATTTGTGAACTTCAGCCTTTATTGCATTCTAATTACATGTACAAATGTCAGGTTGTACATTACAACTTGGATTCTCAAGCAGCCTTAATGTTTTACCTAACATTCTCACCACTGCAACCTTGTAGAAGCTTGTTTTACAACACCATGCAGTCCACTGAAAGAAACATAATGCTTCCCCTTTTAGAGTGAAAGCTTAGTTATATAAGTAACCAGCAAGATGCTGGCAGCAAACATGGCCGCTTACTCTTTGCCTCTAAAGATGGAGGCAATGGCATACCCCAAAAGGAGTATATTTCTTAGCAGTAATCATATGAAAAGACAATGTATATAATAACCAGAAGCTAGGTATATAGTCTCTGTGCATATGCCTATACATTTTCAATGATTTTTTTAAGTGATCCCTGACAACCATTCACACACCAACACAAGACATGCTGTTCACAAAGCACAATGTTTCATTAACCTCTATTTACAGTCACTGCCATTATACAAAACTAGAAACTGAAATTCAGGCAATCCTGTTGCTCTAATGATCATTACTGAGTCAACACCAAGTCTGTTTCTGAATCTTACTGGAAGGTTGTCTGCTTGCCTATACACGATCTATTTTCAAATTACTGTTTTTATACCTTTTTTTTATTGCTAGTGGGGTGGGACTAAGTCCCTTGTACTGCGGCCACTTCTGGCCTATTGTACCCACCCCAGATGATAGGGGAGGGTGATTGGTGGAATGAAGATTGGCAGGGGAAACCGAAGTACTCTGAGAAAACCTGCCCCAGTGCCACTCTGTCCACCACAAATCCCACTTGACCAGACCCAGGATCGAACCCAGGCCGCCATGACGGGAAGCCAGCAACTAACCACTTGAGCTATGGTGCGGCCATTTTCATACTTCAACAAGAATAATACAGAAAACACAATATAATAAATATACAATACAGGTGAGATGGCTTGGCTGGCAAAACAAGATCTCAATTCTGTCACCACCCTATGTTACATGTATTGACACACTCAACCTGTCCCTCTATGGGAATTTCTGGGGGAAGGGATCCAAACTTAAATAAAAAAAATAAATCTACGCTTATTATGTTTCAATATACAGACCACATTTCTGGGCCAATCCATAAGAACATTATTAACCATTTCCGGTCAAACATCACTATATAATCAACATGGTGACTGTGCTTCCATAGACAAATGTCTATATACTATCAACAAAGTATGTTTCATGTTTCTGCAGTCATATTTCAATCATACATCACTAATTTGCACTGTAGACTATATCAACACATGCATGAATGTTTTGTCTGCCTCCTTCTGCCATCTGGAAGTCATAATTTGAACATCTAGAGAAACGAATTATTACAGTGCATCACGTGTTAGTAGCATTCTTTTACATTCAGCTGAACCACAGTCTCTGGATTGAAAAAACTAGATATAATCCCTTGTGTTATGTGGCTGAAGAATCTAGTACATATTTTACACGAAGAATTCAACATTGGCTATAATGATGAGAATAATTTGGAAACTGAAGAAACTGAGTGAAGAACTGAGCAAAGAGAGTGAGTGAGACAAGTGCTGTTGCATGTTGCTGGGTGGGGGGATGTGACAGTGGATGATGATTCATGTAGGGAAACAATACCACTGAATAAAGCAATCGGTCCATCAGAAAGACAAGAAAGTACATGTGATATATAGAGAAACAATTTCAGAAAAACTTTGTGCCAGGTAAAAACACTAATGGATGAATCAACAGTTGGGTTCAAGCACTTGTAATAAAAGCAACCAAGTGGGGCATCAGATTATTTGCATTAGCTGAATGTGACACTTGTTACATTCACAGTATAATTCCAAATTACAGAAAACTAACAGGCAATGTGTGTAACTTACCATAGGTAAGGGCCAACTGGGTTAGAGGTAGAAACGGTTTTTCTTTAAATACTGACATAACGCAGGGCTGGCACAGAAGCGATCTACATCTGTTTTGCCTAGTGAGACACTGCACTTTTTATTCAGCAGTTCCATCCTATTTCTACTCATTAATTTTATATTCGGCATGACTTGTGAAGTACTCAGAACAGAAAATCACCTTTGTAACAATCACCTCAAAAATCCTTTGAAAACCTACGTTCTCTACTAATGACCAGTAACTATCAAGACTAAGAGAACAGTCCAGTTCACTCTGTACTTCAATGATACACCCCTCAGTTTACACTCAAGAAAACAATTTAAAGGCTATCTATGTACAATATAATTATGGCATTTTTTTTAAACATATGTGAGTTCCAATGAACTCCAAAGAGTGTGCAATGATTTTCAAGTACTCCAATAAAATTTGCAGAAGATCTCAGCACTAAACATAATTTAATACAGAATGGTCTTAAAAACATTTTAAGTTATCAAGGCGATTTTGAATCTGAATGACCTATTTTTTGTGTGCCTCATAACAAAAATTAAAATTAAGGGGAATAAAAAATTATTATTCCTCAACTTCAAAGTCGATGTTCCCTTAAGAATGCACTGGTGGACTCAGAACACTTCAATACCACGTGACAAGATTGGTTCTAAAGCATATGACATCGTTACTCAAAACTTATCTGTGAAGTACCTGCATTCTAGGACAATTCTAACCCCATTAAGTGTCTAAAAGAAAAGCCTGACAAACCATTTCACATTCCTGACCAACACTAGTTGAGAGATGACTTTCCTCAAATGGAATCTGTTTCAATCTACAACTTATCTGGTGCTACAGCCCTTTGTGAGCCTTCCAACTATTTGTCTTGTTCGTTCTTCCACGAAGCCGTCACTTTTTAACATTTCAAAATCTTGCAATACATCATCCAGCCACCTTAATTTTGGTCTTCCTTTCTGTTTACTGCTCTCTAGCTGGGAGAAGATTAATTTCTTGCAGAGCAAACTTTCATCTATCCTGCTGATTTGCCCTAGCCACTTTATATTGATGGAACTATATTTGGTTCTTTGAATAATTTATGTAGTTCATCATATTTTATTCTCC